CAGGAATGATTTCAGATCCAAAGTCATTGGAAGTAGGATACCTCCATGTTAGGAGCTTCAACAAGGCCTCGGTTTTGAAAACATAAACTCCCATAGATGCAATATACGGTGACTTTGTTGCTTCTTGAGGCGACAATCCAAGCATAGCAGTATCCGTACGCTGTGTACACATCACCGTATAAAACAACATCAGAATCACTCGCATGCTAGGAGATGCCTGAGTTTATTATAAACAATCAGACTGGTACCATTGCTTTCAGATCGAGACCCCTTGGTTTCTCGGAGAACTGGATCACATTCCCGCCCCGATCAATCTTCACTAGACCATAATCCGAGGCCCGGCTGAAATTTGTGAAAACCCCAGTTTTTAGAATGAAAAGTTAAATGCTTTCAAGGTCGAAGCTACAAATGAAATCAAGAAAACGGACCTTTCACCTACGGCTGCGCATGAAAGTGTGATATCGGAATTTCTATCTACATGGTGCTGTTGAAAACATTGTGGCGAAATTAGCAGAACGGTGAGTGAAGCGATCAAAGGCAAAAGCACACATAACTTTAAGCATAAACTTATCTAAGTACCTGGACAAAGTCCATGTAGTTCATTCTATAGAGATGGTCCCCAGACAAGATGAGTATGTTCTCGATATTCCTGTTCTTGGCATCCTAAAAGCATCAGCAAGAGTTTATCAAAAAAGACCAGTTCAAGAACATAAAGGATTAAACTTTACAATCTAAGGGTATATCTTAAGACGATAACAACATAAATGAAAGTATACCTCAAACACCCACAGAAATTTTCTCACAGCATCAGCTGTTCCTTGGAACCACTTCTTTCCTGCTTCCCCTGGTGTTTGTGTAGCAGCCAGCACCTATTCAACAACATATACTTGCTTTGTTCAGAGAATCCAGTATACGAACCCACCATTTTGACCCGGAAATTCAAAAGGACAAGCAAGAATCCTTCCTGAAAACCATGTTTTCAGAGAAACCATACTGTTCTCTGGCAGTTAAATACAGCATGGTCAAAGAAAGAAAATTAAAAGTGTTTTTTTTTGTGTTATGAACAACAAAAAAATTCCAGACTTTGCGCAAGTAGTACCTCCACGAAACCATCTCCAAAGTTTATGCCATTCCCAAAATAAGTACGGGCAAGGTGGCGATTAAGGGAAGCCGAGTTGAACTGAGTCAACACAAAAATCTTGTTTATGTTGCTGTTAAGGCAATTGCTCATCGGGACATCAATCAGCCTGTAGCATCCTCCCACAGGGACCTGATGCAAATGAATCCACTCGACTTATAATCTTAGGTTCTGTTAAGGACCAAGAGACGAAAAAAATTGGACTAAATCTGCCAAAACCCATCATATTGTTTTGTCTTGAACATTGATTACCAGAAGAAATTTTCGACCAAGATTCTTTCTGTTTGTTTTCCTCAACTCTTGTGATCATACAATGAAACAGGAAAAAGGAAGCATTCAAATACTTACAGCTGGAGTGGCTGATCTTTTTGTAAGAGGGAAGAGTTGAGCACCATTCCCACCTCCCAATATGATTGCAGCCACATTTTTCGGGTCTGCCTTTCGTCTCTCGAACAGTGAAGGTTGTATTGTCTGAAAATGAAACAGCTGCACTATCAACATCTCAAACTCGATAGTCCTAAGCGATGTACCACAATTTTCACAAATATTATCAAAAGAATTATGCCTATGTCAACATCACATTAGGGAGAACCACATGAAAAGGAACTTAGCAAGGTCTCATTTTTTGCAGCCAAAGAAGGTTGCACTGCCTATATAAAACCAAAAGTTCAGAAATATCTTGATGGGATAAGCAGAATGGATCTAAACACGCAATTCGTTATACAGTAGCATGAGATATCTCTGATCAAACCTACCAGAGCCTCTTTGGCATTCTTTGAAGTGGCAACAGCGTAAGCAACACCAGGCCTGAACTTTCTACTCCCAGTCTTGTTGGATTTCAAATCTGATGCAAAAGGGTTTACAAAATCATTGTTGTTTGAGCTTCCCTTAATCTTCTCACCCCAAAACCTGTTTGCTACATTCTTGAAACGCTCTTTTGGCAGAGTAGGATTTTTCCCCAAGGCAAAACAGCAAGAGGAATCCATCTTTAGCTGCAATAAACAGAAACAGAAACCTCGGGAATTTTATCATGGTCTCCCTCAAAGAATAAAGCTGTACTAAACCAAAAATCCAAGTAAAGTGAAGAACACACAAAGCGCATCAGCTTTACTTATCCAAAACTACTCAATACTAATAGAATAATCCAAAATCCAAATGTAAGTAATCTAAAAGGAAAGAGAGAGAAATCCTCATTTGATGCAAGAACCAGACAGAAACAAAAGCACCCAGATTCCTGATCCTCCAAAGAAATAATATTTTTAGTACCCTGTTAATAAACCCTGGAAAAGTACATATCTTCACCAACTCTGATGATGTATCTTCCAAATCAAGCAGAGTTTAAAGTGCCTAGATGATCATTCTTCCAAAACAAACGAAACTCTTTAGTACCAAGATACTGCATCTTCTTAATAAACGGAAATCCAAAACACAGACTATGAATTTGGCAAATAACCAAAAAAGAAACCAGACGAGAGGAAATATTCCAAATATTACAGGCGAAACGAAACGCAAGGCGACAGTAAATCAAAAGAGTAATGGAGGAGATTTGATCCATACTACTTCTCAGTTCCCGGTGAAATGAACAGCTCATGGGATATCATAAACAGTGAAAATTCATCTGCTCTATTGGAAACCGAGCGGTTACCGATTCAAGAGGTTCACAACATTGAAGCTTCCAAAAATATGAATATCATAAAAAAAAAAGAGGGCCCAAAAGAAGAAACTTCCTCTGGACCCAGGAGCTGAAACAATATTGGAAAAAAAGAAAGGTGCTTTCGGAAAACAAAAACGGAGGAGGAAAAATGGAAATGATTTTCATGCCTGGAAGCAGAGAGCGTCAAATAAATGTGATGCGCATTAACCAAATCAAGAATAAAGGCGAAACCCACAAGAAAAAATCAAACCTTTTTTACCTAAAACAACCACCAAAACAGGGGGGAGAAGGAAGATGTTTCTGCTCTTAAGTGGAAAAATGGGGGGGGGGGAGGGAGGGAGAACACCTATTATCAGAAGAAGATTAAAACTTTCAGAGATCGTAGAATCTATGAAAGAAGGTAGGGAAATTTTAGTACCCGAAGGCTAAAACACCATGAACACAAACATAGACCCGTTGAAAACAGTAAACAAGAAGATCCAGAAGAGAGGTAACTCACCAAGAATCTGCTGTGTGAATGTAGATTTGTATATTCGTTGAATATTTCCAACGAATCGATTCGAATTCTGCGGCTCCTTTACGCCTATGTTTTTGCTTGAAAATGGGAGGAAGAGAAGATCGAGGGAGGAAGGAGAGTGAAGCGCGTGCGTGCGTGACGGGGAAGCTGTTACTTGGCCTGTCACTGAGCGAGTCCGCTTTCCCTCTTCCAACATTTCCTATATTTATACTGGGTTTTTTTTCTTCTCAATTTTAAATAATATTCTGATTATGAATTTTAATCCCCCTAAAACAAACTCTATAATCTCGAAATAAACCCTTCGTGCATTTTTTTAAAAATTATCATTAATTACTCAACTTAACTTTTATAATTTCTGCTTTGCTGTGAATGTGAATAATACATATGTAAAGGCAGCTTATGTGGTTCTGGTCTCGTATATTGGCTATTGAGGTTAGATTATTTTTTTCTTGGGGGATTAATTATATCATAACCATAAATCTAAACAATAAAATATATTTACGTAAAATTATAAATTAAATTACATAAAATACAATCTTCCCCTCTCTTAATCTTTGGAATTTAAAGTTCAATAGCCATCACCATGGGCTATTTTTAAAATAATAATAATAAATGTAACAACGTGCAAAAATATCTAAAACATTTCCGTATTAAAGCTTATAAATATTATAATTGTGGGACTATACACAAGATCATGTGAAGAGCTTATCTACCAACCTGTAGATGCCTGACATGTGTACTTCACCTAACCAAATGGACGGCTCTGCTTTCTCCCATACTTCTGCGCCCTTCCCTTGTCCGCTTCTTTCTGGGTCCCAGTCCCAGATCTTCCCATTGGCCCATCACATAGGCGCGCCATCTACTCCGTACACGTTGTCATGTACACATGTTTCGATATTTAATATAATTCACAATTTTTTTTCATGAAATATAGATTATACTGACCAACGAAATTTATTTTTTTTAAAACAAAATCAGATTTCTACACTTACAAACTAATAAAAGAATATTTATAATGTACATGTTCATAATATAATAAGCTAAAACATGATGAACACACACAGCTTGCATCAAAGATTTTTGTGATCTATACATAATACACCAAACAAATATCTTGAATGGATTTTATTGGTCAAAATGAAAATGATATTTTTACCAATATGAAAAAAATATATATATATATATATGATTATAATTTTTATTTTATTTTTTAAAATAATTTATCTAATGGTAATATTCGCGTATATATTATATTCAAGCGAATTATCAAATGAGAGTTAATTGACAGAGAGGACGATAAATATCCAAAGGAAAGGTTCCATAGATCTAATAATGTGACGTCGATGTTTATGTTTTTTGTGCATGATAGAGGAAGGTCGATTAGATTACTCGTGATTTAAATAACCTCGGATATTTCAAAGCCGCACACGTGTCGTTCGACCATCCAAAACCAATATGTATTACTAAACAATTTGAAAATCATACGATTTTTTCATGTTGTTCTTTTTGTTAACATGGAGATTCAAATGAATCCATTGTAAAAGCTCAGCGTTGCCGGGTTTATGGCAATGCGTACGTTGTAATTTATATGGATCCATTACGATTTTAAATTAATTTTCAAATGATTCCCGTCATCTTTCATCAGATACAACAACAACGTCAACGTCGTTTTAATCTCAATTTTATTTGGGATCGTCAGTATGAATTCTTCTTTTTCATTTATTTCGTTTTTTGCGTTATATCCTCGGATGTTTACAACATATGTAAATCATTTCTAATATCTTTTATATAGTATGTGAAAAAAAATAGATAGGATAAACCAATGTATTATACACCGCGGATGAATTGGACATACGGACGACAAAAGCAATTGAGTTGTGGAAGAGATATTCGGACACAAGGATCATCATGTTCCAAGTGAACCCCCAAAAAAAATTGACGGATGAGAATGTCCGAAGGGGAAGGGGGACCACGTGTTAGAGCAAAATGCTGAATTCAACAAAAGTCCAATTAGAAAAAAGATAAATGCTAAAAAATCTACGGTTAGGGACAAGTATTCACGTGGACTGTCGTCCCCTTCAATGATATAAACCAAACCCATCAAGCTTTCCTTTTTGGGATATGACTCTTTTATTTTCTCCTGCTTTCATTTCAAATATGAAGGTGAAATTATTGAAGGTGCAGCCATTTGTTTGTGTGCATACAGAGGTAAGGAATCACTAAACAAAAGTTGAGCAGCGGTAACCCAAGTTTGGGTGGCCTAGTGGTGAAAGAACATGTAAAACATATTCTCCTCCTGGGTTTAAATCCAAACGTGGGGAGAGGCATTCACCTGGACTTCCCCGGTCCTCGGGGAGGTGTAGTTGGGCTAAAGATCCGGTGAACTTCCAGATTATCAAAAAAAAAAAATGTTGTGCAACGGTATGTACGTGTATATGCATGCATGTCTACACAAGTTCTGTACCGACGTATACATGTATATATCTTCTTGCTATTCCATAGGCCCACACCGTATAAAGCATGGGCTTCTGTCACAACCGGAGTGAGTTTCATTACATGGGAATTCAAATTTTATCAAGCCCAAGTTGAGAAGAAAACTAGAAAAGGATGAAAACAATCTCTTTTTTTTTGTAAAGAACAAAACTCAAAAGAGTTTAGACAGTAATCTCAAAAGGAAATTCTAACAAGTTGTGTGTGAATCATTACGCAACTAAAAAAAAAACAAGGCAGTGAAGCTTGTTGTTGATTGGCAAGAGTCGTTTGGCCATAACACTGAAAACCATTTAGGTGTTGGTGGCACGTGTGTAAATCTGCTGGCTGGAATGCGCTGAAACCATCCGGATCAACCCTCTCGCCATTAGCTCATGAATCGCTTTCCTTGCGAGTGACCCGCTAATCTGTTTAAATATTTCATCCCATAATGTAAGAAACAGCCATCGGCATCAATCCTCATACTTTGAGAATTGAGATCAGCATCAATGGATTGAGAATTCCCTCCCTTATGGTTATGAACTGGTATTGCATGCAGCAATGTACACCTAGATGGTGTGCAAGGGACTGTTGTTTAAGGATGCAGTCTGACTATAAACTAAGTTCTTACTTTTACATAAGCATACGTAACCCAACTATTTTAAATATGACCCATGCCTAATGGATCCATAAAACCCGCAAAAACAGGTTCAGAGTATAAACCCCTCAAACTCTTTATAAATTTAAACTAGAGAATGACCCGCAATCAGTACGTTTATATAAGAATTAACGAGAAATCCCTACATGATGGCTAACGCATCTGCTAATTAAGGTAGGAAGAAGAGGAAAGAAGCAAGCATACCCTCATACGGTCAGACAGAATTGATGGGGTGATGAGCTTGAACTTGGGTGCCTCGGAGAGAAGCTTGTCATAAGTGGCCTGATCAAACAACACCATGTTGTTCACCTTCTCCTTTTGCTTTCCCTTGCTCCACTTCTGTTGCATTACATATTACACAATCCACAACTTACCACAAACACCAGGAGAACCTGCCAGGTTACTACCGGCTAGAAACTTCTACCATAAACACCTTAGCAGAACAAATCCACAACATATCCACACAATCTAGATTCTAGACTAAACAGAAAAGCAGAGAAATCGAACAGATAGAAACATAAAACAGCATAACAACGTTTGCGGACCATCACACATCGCCACTCCCGCATCCACAAGTTACATATATGAACTGATATCCGAGTGTGCCCACTTGTGAACTGATAAGATCCAGCAATAAGAATGGGAACAATGCAGCATAATTTCCCAAAAGAAGACACGTTAATTTGATCATGGGAAGTGAACGATTACTAAGCAGAAACAAGTACGTAGCGCAGCCTATCGATTTTCCCCAGACAAGATTTAAAAAACACGCGATAACTGAAACGCCTACGGTAAACAAGTAATCCATCTAATGAAAGTAAAAATTGGCGAATTTAAAAATATCGACCTTCTTCTTCTGCTTGCCACCTCCGGACTTTGCCGGCTTCGACGACGGTGGCGGAGCCTTGTCCTTCTTTGGCGCCTGCAATAACCGGGAAGCCAAATCAACAATTCAGTCACAGAGAGATGAGGAGAGAAAGCGAGATAAAGAGAGTAAATTAGAGAAACCATGGTGTCTCCGACGGAGATGGAGAATCAAACGGCCGAGGAGATTGGCGCAAGCAGAGCTCACGGAGATGACGAACAGGAAGCTTGGAGAATCTAGGGTTATGCTCTTAAGTTTCTTATAGGGTTTCCAACTCTTCACACTGATACTGGGCCATTTATAAAGCCCATGTCTTTCGAAAAAGTAGGCCGAAAATAGTAATCACGCCTTAATAAAAGCCTATTAGTAGGCCCATAATTGTTTCCCAAAAAAATTCCAAACCAAAAAAAAAAAAAAAAAAAAAAAACACTAACGCACTTATAAGTTATATATACATATATATATATATGGTATAATATATATGGTATGCACGACTTTTTTTTTTCTATTTTAACTTCTATACATTTAGTTTTTTATTATTTCTGAATGATTTACGTAATGCCTTATCATAGATTACCAATACATATACATGAAGATGATTGATATATCAAATATAATTGAAACATTTTACCAAAAAAATATGTATAATTGAAACACGTTTTTATGTTCATGGCCATGTGAGTATATAGCATAGCATGTATAAACATACATATATATATATATGAGGAAATTTATACAAACCAATAATATATGAATCTTTTTTCCCCACTTCCCCATCTTTTAAAAAAGAAGTGCAACTTTTGTCCAAAGTGTATCCAATAACACAATTTAATTTGAAATCGGCCCCAACTCTCTACTTTGGTAAGAAAAAGACAAAGACATAAAAACAACCCAAATTAAAAGTTGTGGAAGCAGAAACCAATTGGCCATGTCTTAGCCAAGAAGTAAAGTTTACATACACACATACATATAAAATGTATATATGCACATACATACATTAGTGTTTTTTTTTTTTTTGAAAACTTCTATTTATATTTTTTCCAAATTAAAAACGTAAAAAAAAATAAGCTCGTATCACTCTTTTATATTCCCATATTACGAATGGTATATAGTTTTTACTAATCTATGGCAAGTCGATCGGTATATGGTATAATCTTCTCATTTCATATTACAAATTTGCTCAAATTATATTTCATTTATTTATTTTGTAAAATCTTTTTATCGTGGAAAAAATATTGTGATAGTAGGATTCATGTAAAATATAAAGAGAGCGAAAGAGAGGAAAAGGACGTATCAAACTCATGGCGAGCTGCTTTCCCACTCCGATAAAGAAATCACAAATGGCTGTAGATAGTGCTTGAATTTTTCTATTTGTTCATATACAAACTGAATTTTAATTTGAATTTAGAATCCTACTTTTATCGCCATCGTTAAATCTTGGTCGACAATTGAAGTTTAAAATAAAAGGTGGAAAAATATTAAATTTTATTCTTAATTTTTTTTTATAACGGAGGACCCCTGTTACCCTTCGGACGCTCTGACTAGGTAAATCTCTGATCCGATAGCAACCTTTGTATATGGATCATATAAACCCAGAAATTACCTTCCTCCCTACCAGCCAGAAATCGAACACTCAACCTCAAGGTGGAATTAACTCCTACCTCAAACTTGATCATCTTAAAATTTATTATGTTATATGTGAACATGTTAGTGAGATAAATTTCTATCTCTTCGTTCGACATTAAATAGAGAAGTATGCTCTAAGATGATATCAAGTAAGGGTTTTCGCACGTGTTGATTTCAATTTAATCATCGCGGCGGTCCTTTCAAAACTCAAATACGTGCCACTTTAAGTATTGTCAAGAGAATACTTTTACGCCTGGAAATCATGTTACAAATGGAACATAACATTAGGGTTTATATATGTACATACTCTATGGCTTGACACGTGACATACTCTTTAACTAACAAAACTTTAGCCAAGTTCATACTTTCCACGATTATATAAATAATTTACTATAAAAGTCATCTTTTATTTGTTTGATTGGCAACCATATCAATCATATAGTATTATATTTTACTTCCACCATGGTATCATCAAATGGGTTTAAGATATAACATGCTTGTTAGGCTTTTCATTTCACGTACCATTATCTTTGCCTACACAATATCAATAATATATATACAGATTTTTTTTATTTGTGCAATTCCCTTTATAGTTCCTACAATAATAATAATAATAATAATAATAATAATAATAATAATAATAATAATAATAATAATTATTATTATTATTATTATTATTATTATTATTATTATTATTATTATTATTATTATTATTATTATAATAATAAACACGCGCACTCAACAACCCCCTTTATAAATACCCACACTCGGCACACCGCAGGACTCTCAAGTCACCGATAGGGAAA